TCAGGCCTGCTTCGAATTCTCTACCAGTTCGCCACAGTACATCAGTAGCAAGACAGGATCAGTAGTGGACTCCTGTGAACACGGTAATGAACCTCCGGGCTCCATAAACTGCGGGAAACGTTACCAGTTCTTAATCTCACAAATGCCAGTGTACGACTGACATTTCATCCGAAATATACTGAAGAAACATTTGTAGAGAATTCTATTTTGTTCCTACATTTTAGAGAATTCTATTTTGTTCCTACATTTTAAGTTATTATGGAATTAGTTTGTAGCCATGAATGAAAACCAGCTCTGACCCGCTAAAATGGCGGCTTCCCCTTGTGAAAACTGAAGTTGATACTTAGGGCTTGTTTCGTGGACTTAGTTACCACGCATGTGCTCCAAGAAGCAGACGTTTCGGGTCCCGTTTTGAATTCATTTTTTTAGAAATCGAAGTATGATTCGGCCGGTCACAGTGGCCACGAGGTCTAAGGCATGAAAGGTCATCGCCTGTTCAAACATTGGGATCGTGGGTTCGCGCCCAACTCGAGGTGTGTTAATGTTTCCTTCTGTAGAGAGTAGCCTTGCGGTGGGCTCATCATCGGTCCAAGGAGCCATAACCAGCGGGCTATATGGCTCAAGTTTCAGAATTAAGTAATTTTGAATGGGCAACAGCCGATCGCAGTGGCCAGGCTGTCTTAGGCATTAAATGTCTTCGTTCGCTCTAATGCTGGTATCGTGGGTTCGAATCCCAATCAAGGCATGAATATTTGCGTTTATTCTGTGTTGCCCCGTACAGGAACGGCCTTGAGTCGGGCTGATGCCCCTTCCAAGGGGTCCTATCGACTGTCTATGATTAAGAAATTGACGCGAAACGAAGAGTTTCACGGATGCCCTATGCTTCAAGTGGGAGAAACAAGGATGGATTGATGGATGGATGAATGAACGGATGGACAGATGGACGGACCGACGGAATGAGGGAAGGACGGATGGATGGACAGACAGACAGACAGATAGATAGATAGATAGATAGATAGAATGGGCACAGGCCAGAGAGTTAGCCATCAAGGCAGAAGAAAAGAAAAAGAAGAAAGCCGAATCCAGAACCATCATTTATTCTGTGTCTCTTCCAGGTTCCGTCAGTATACTCTGTGTTCCTTGGTGAGTACCCTACGTTTCGCGGAGGTTAATAATTGAAATTCACAGCATACGAACCGTGGACATGTATTCATAAAATACCACGCATAGAACAAGAAGTGCATGTCCTGATCTTCGTATCTCTGCCCCCATTCCCAATGTTCACGGCCCCATTTGCACTTCGCCGTACTATCGCGCTTGTTCGACAAGCTTCTGAGCTCGTGCATTCCTCTGCATTCTGCAGGTTATCGCAGATACTTGAAGGCGCCCTCAGGGACACTACATAACCCGTCACATTTCAGAGCTCTCTTCTGCGGCCGCACTGTGACACCCAGTCGTTGCCTTAAGACTGCTGCTTCATATGCGCATGTGGTACAACCTGATCAGTGTCACGTGACTTATAAGACAAGTTCCGGATCGGATGATTGGATTTATTGACACCTTATAAACACCATTCGGAACGCTATCGCTCATCTGCACACTTTCCAGTTCACCGTTACACACGCACTATGATTCTCAGTCATCACTAGCCGTATCCTGGCAACGGATTTATAAGTTTCAGTGTCTCTTCAAATCACGCATGAAGACTTCTTTTCACAGTCTAATTCATTTCTTGGCATTATTCTTCAATTGCCAAATCTGAAGACTCGACTCTATCGAATTACTCTGCTCCCAAGCTCATATCCTGGCAGACTGGCGTCTCGAAACTTGACTTCACTATTCCGGCTTTCGGCCATCATGTCACAATAGTGTATTTGCCCCCGAAACTAGGCCTACAGTTTAAACTCTTTCCCGGGGTTAAAGCGGCTGGGAAATGAAGCTGACCACTCACATCCAACTAGCGCCGAGGTCAAGAAAACGTGGATCTATATATCCACTCCCCCATGTACCTTCATGGCATAGTGCTTAATTAGTTAAGTACAGGGGCAATCTTACATTTAATTCGGATAAGTTTTTATCCTCATCTTATTATTTAATAAGTTTCTTATGGAATAATATTAAGAGCCTGCATATAGTGTAAAACTACATCCAGCACTTGAAGTGCGAATATTCAGTATTTAAAACGAGAATGGAAATCACGGTGCAACCGGACTGCAAGTTCAGACCGAGAGATACGCGCATGCGTGGGGTAGTTAATTAACATGATAGCCTTTTCCTTGACTTCTATACAAACAACAACGTCCAACCCGACTGCAAGCAGCTACACGATTTTTTTAGAATATTAATTAGAATGAAACAACACCGGCACCCACTTCTGGGAGAACTTCTCCTTCCTTAATGCATTATTATTTTAACAAGCCAGGGAAACAATATATAAAATACGCAAAAACAGTAAAATTAATGTGAAATGTTTACATTTAAAGTTATTTTAATCAGCAACATGTCGGTGCATCAGAGTGTATATTACACGAAAGCCAAATAATTAAAACCTAAGATCCTGACGTGTCAAAAAATTTCTTATTTTGAATAAAGTAGCATAGTTGGTTGAGGGGCTATGCTACAAGCCGGAAGGTCGCGGGTTCAAGTCCCGATGAGGTCATTGGATTTTTTCAATTGACCTAGTCCTTCCAGCCGCACTATGGCCCTAGGGTTCGCTCAGCCTCTTAACAGAAATGAGTACCAGGAATTAATAAAATAATTTTCCTGGGGAGTAAAGCGCGGCCGGCGCGTACGGCTGACAACCTTAACGCCATCTTTGAGCCGATTGTCTAGATAATGTTGGACTCTCAACGTCTCACAATCCTATGGGCCTTCACGGCCTGGTACGGGGATAGATTTACTTTTTACTTATTACAAGTCATCAGGGAAAACCCACTCAATTGGGCCAATCCCGATCTTCATGCAAGTACAGAGGTTCGGAGATAGGGACTAGCTCTGTTGAGTGGGCCCAGCTGAGTAGGTTTTACCTGAAGGAGGAGACAGCATCCAGTCTCCGAAATGGAGGTGGGGTGGGGGGGGGTTAATGGATGGATAAATAAGATAGATAGACAGACAGACAGAACAGTGATTCCCACGTTTTACTGCTTCACAGACCAGTAAACGACATTGGATTTTGCTAGGAATGACACCCATTGGTGCCAGCAGCGGGGGGGGGGAACCACACATGTCTCCTCCCTGTTTTCTAATAAATCAAAATTGAAAAAGGATATATAAAATTAGGTCAACTGGGAAAAGTGATCCAATGACCTCATCGGGACTTGAACCCGCGACCTTCCGGCTTGTAACATGGTGAACCAACTACGCTACCGCGTGCCCCTCTTGTACAAAAGGCAACAAGAAACAATTTTTCATGGATTTCCTGTAGGTACGAAAATGAAAGAAAAGTAATCATACTGTAATTCGTTTACTTTGCAATAGACTATGCAGAACAGGTAAAAATGTTGAACATAGAATATTCAATCAACAGAAATGAAGATAACGGATGAGAACAATCCTTAATTACAAAATAACATTTATTCCAACTATGGTAAGATATGTCACACAATACTAATACGAATTTTGGGGCCGAGTGTAGTCCGAGGACCATCAGATCATCACGTGAGAAGCAGAGCTTGTGTTTCTGATTCCAGGGCTGAGGTAATCAACCTTTCGGGCAGGCGGCCGACGCTGAATGACAATGCAAATATCTCTAGTGCAAGCTTTGAGGCTTTCACGGCGGTGACTATGAAGAAAGCAGTCTTCTGCGATTTGGCACCGTGTATATGTGGTGTTAACCGACGTTTCGGAGGAACGTATCGCAAGCAGACTGTCTGCTTTTACCGGTTCTCACAGTCTCTTCGCTTCCAGATTTCTTATATTTTTTCTTCTACCCTGAAGATGGAGGCGATCAGTTCCTCCGAAACGTCGGTTAACACCACATATACACGGTGCCAAATCCCAGAAGACTGCTTTCTTCATCTCTAGTGCACTCAACACAAAAGTGAAACGTACCTTACCAATGCGAAATTTGGGCCTTCCTTTGCTCCGCAAGAGAGTGAATATTTGGTTCCTTTTATATTTTTATAATAAAGACCTCTGCTTTAGAAGAGTTCAAATCCAATTTCCTAATATTCTCAAAAACAGTTTAGAGTAAAAGTGCTTATATATGAGATAAAACACATATAAGAAACATGTTTATATATATTAAATATATAAGAAATAAGCTAAAATTAGGCTGTATCTGACAATGTGGTAGCATGAACTAGGACTAAACAGATTCTTTGTCACCTGCTCTACAGCAGGCCCAGGCCTATGATATTCAGTTTCATGATCATTTTAGAGATTTTATGACTCCTTGGGCGAGTGATCAGCTCGTCGCAAGGCCTGTACTTAAACACAGGACAACATAAACACATACACATACCAAACATCCATGCCTTCTGTGGGATTCGAACGTATGATCCCGGCTTCCGAGCGAGCGAAGACAGTTTATGCCTTAGACCTTTCGGCTACTGTGACCGGCGAAACAACAGATTATACCTGTAAAATCGCTACTGAGTTCCGTTATGAACTTCGTTCATAGCCCTCGGAGATCTGAATACATTGTACGGTGGCCAATTCAGTTGACTTCCAAAGCTGACAAACGAGGAAAGAGTTGTCCAATAGCTGGGCACATAGTTGGGAAAATACAGCTTTATGTGTCCTAGTTCATATCAAAAAAATGTATCTTGAATAACTGCTGAGTCCACTCCGGAGTACACTTTTCAACTCTTATTCTTTATTATTCATTAATCCAGACGGTGGCCGCAAATCGCTATATCAAATAATTATTCCATCTTGCAATTTGTTAACACGGTGCTCAAGTGTTTGGTTATAGTCAAAAAATAATGAAAAGAATTTATATTCAGAATTACTTTACTACGTGTCTTGGTAAAGGACGACAGTATTCGCTAAATACTTACATAGATGACCCAGTCCTTTGGGCTGTGCGCGTTGGTGCCACACATGTATAGGCGCCCTCCATCTCCCATTGGCTGAATCACTCGTATATGGTTTCTGCAGTCGAAATGCTGCAATACAGAAATACACCAGACTTAGTACATACACGAACATACGACAAGAAAAATAATCATAATTCGCAAGTAACCGTCAACTATTTCTAGATGGAATCAAATATCTGATCCACTCTATCTATGGCTCTACAGCCCTTTGGACCTTGGCCGCTGTTTCAGTTTCTAAATCCTACATATAAACGGCAGGACTCCTTGGACGGGGGACGCTACATACACAAAGAACAGCACAAACACGGAACAAAGGCATACACAGATCCATGCACTGAGTGGGATTCGAACCCATGATCCCAGGGTTCGAGGGAGAGAAGACGGTTCATGCCTTAGACCGCGCGGCCACCGTGATCGGCTGATGTACTGGACATTTCAATATTTAATTACAGAAAAGAAGACTAAAAAAACGGAAAAAGTTGCATGGTTTGAATCCCGGGTCGATTATAAAAGTCGTGGGATAGCAATATGTAAGTTTATTTTTAAGTACCGCCACCGTCCCTTGACGGCTTGGGAATGCCCAGAGCAGTATCAATTGTGAGGTGTTCTCTCGTGAGTCAGGTTGAACACCGGCCACTCTGCTCATGGCAAACCGACGTGAATTATCGGAGTTTGAACGGGGCATGCTAGTGGGTGCCAGGCGGATGGGACATTCCATTTCCGAAGTTGTGGGGCCATTCAAAATTCCTCGATCCACGGTGTCACGTGTGTACCGGGGATACCTTGTGGAAGGCATTTCCACCCACCGTGCACAGCGCGGTGGCCGACCACGGGTGCTTAATGATCGTGACCAGCGGCGTCTAGCTAGAATTGTCCGTGGTAACAGACAAGCGACACTGGCTGAAATCACATCCACTTTCAATGCAGGAGGTACCAGGCGCATATCCAGCAGGTCAGTGCAGCGTTCTTTAGCTTCCATGGGATATGGGAGCAGAAGACCGACCAGAGTGCCTCTGTTAACACAGCGCCTCACCTGGGCTTGTGACGTCGCTAATTGGACCCTGGAGGATTGGCAACATGTGGCGTGGTCCGATGAGTCACGGTACCATTTGTTTCGGGCGGATGGTAGGGTTCGGGTGTGGCGCAGACCCCATGAGGCCATGGACCCCAGTTGTCAACAAGGCACCGTGCAGGCTGGTGGTGGTTTCATGCTGGTGTGGGGTGTGTTCACGTGGCATGAGTTGGGTCCGCTCGTTCACCTACACACGGTGACCGCTACGTTACACTGCTTGGTTACCATTTGCAGCCCTTCATGGACTTCATGTACCCCCACAACGATGGGATATTTCAGCAGGACAATCCACCGTGTCATTGGGCCGGAGTTGTCCAGAATTGGTTCGAGGAGCATTCTGGAGAGTTCCGACGAATGGTGTGGCCACCACGTTCGCCCGACATGAACCCAATCGAGCATTTATGGGACGTGGTGGAGAGGTCCATTCGAACCCAAAATCCTGCAGCTACAAATACCAGGGAGCTGTGGACGGCTATCCAGACGGCATGGCTCAACATCTCTCCAGAGGCCTTCCGTCCACTTCTGGAATCGATGCACTTCGCCGGGCTAGAGGGGATCCTACACGATACTAAGTACCTATCCCATGACTTTTGGCACTTCAGTGTATTTCTCATATTATCAACTGCCAATCGCAGGGAAGATGTAAAGGGACAAAAATGTTTGTTTTCGCCAGCTTGTTCCGGACAAGGTAAGTAAACTGTTCAACTTTCAATAAAACTATTTACACAGGACAAATTTTAATCATGCTCTTAAATAGATAATTAAGGAAACTGCAGACCGCACAGCCCGCTTAAAAATACAAGGAGCATCTTCTCAGCCGTGAGTGGAAAACGGGAAACAAGTGTATCCACTCTTTAATTGCTTGTTTCACAAGAAATGAAATTTTATAATTAGGCAAAGAGAAACCCAAAATGCGTCTTCTGAAACGTCAGAGCACATAAAATGTAATGTAAAGGTAGAGTTGTCCCTGTGCTTAACGAATTAAGCACTACGTCAGGAAGGCGTATGGGGGAGTGGGTGTATATATCCAAATTTTCTTGACCTCAGCACTAGTTAAAGGTGAGTGGTCAGCTTCACGTCCTGGCAGCTTTATCCCTGGGGAAAGAACCCCCGGTACCCATTCGACAGAAGGCTGGGTGGGTCCCAGACCCGGTATGGACGACATGGAGAAAAGAAAATTCTTGAACCTACCAGGACTCGAACTCCGACCTCTTGGTCGTCCAGCCAGTAGCTAGTCGCTACACCGACTGAGCCATCCTCGCTGACCATCTACAGGTAAGCTACGAAATATTTTTCAAAGTAAGACGATTCCTGGCTGGGGGTAATACGTTTTTCTCTTCTCCACAGCGTTCAGACGGCTCTGGGTCCCACCCAGCCTCCTATCCGAAGACAGCAGTTTCCCCGGATGTAAAGCGGCCAGGGCGTGTAGCTGATCACTCATCTCCATCTATCGTCGAGGTCAAGAATGGTGCAGCTACATTTCCACTTCCCCATACGTCTTTATGGTGTGGTGCTTAATTAATTAAGTACAGGGACAGCTTTTCTTCTTTTTATTTTTCTTTCCATGGCACTACAGCCCCAGTGGGCCTAGGCCTACCTCCATGAACTCCGTTCACTTCGGTTTTTCTAGATCTTACACATACGGTAGGACTCCTTGGGCGAGTGATCAGCTCGTCGCAAGGCCTCTACCTGTAGACAAACACAGAAAAACGCACACACACACATCCATGCCCTGAGTGGGATTCGAACCCATGATCCCGGCTTCCGAGCGAGCGAAGACACTGCATGCCTTGGACCGCTCGGCTACCGTGACCGGCTCTTTTTACTTTTACCGATATGTAATTCGTTACTTGGATAGCTCTCACATATTTGACGATGATTTGGAAGCAATTTAATCTGTATCTCCCTCACAGACGTCTAAGCTCGAAACATTAAAAATATAGTGACCCTTAATGTTGAATTTCAAGCATATATTCTGTTTGAAGTTCGATCGTACCCAGCTGTACTTCAAGTTACAAATCATAATTTACATGTTTCCGTAAAGGGATGGATTTGCAGTGTTCCCATCACATTTCCGCCGTGGATACGAAACACGAAAAAGTATCACAGTACTTTCTGATGGAGTTCTAGAATTTAGCAAGTTAACGAGACTGTAACAGCGGTAGTGAAAAGCCTTAGAACCCGCTGCGTCTCATATTATCGTTCATAACACTTCTCTACACATCCATAACGTTACTGGACAGGTTCACGAGCCCTTTCCCGTGCACGGCGACCCCTTTCTTACCATCGTCCACACATATCGATTCAACTGCCTCCATTCCGATGTATAGAGTGAGAGTGGACCCCATCCCCTTCGATACAAGGACTCGTAGCATCGTTCGATGACTCGAAAAATTGGAAGCAGAGAGTGAATTTTCCGGCAAGCAGCTCTCTGCATGACTGCCTTCCGATTTCCGAGCTCTGGAGACAGAAGCGGAGCAAGGCAAAGAGGGAATTCGAGCCGTGACCGCCGGAAGGCAGGAGCAATGTGAAAACAGGCACATCATATTCTAACAGAACTAAACTGAAACAATTCTTAAATTTACTCGCCTCCAAGGTGATTAATTATTGATGTTAATTCAGTTCTTGGTTGAAGAAAGTTGTCTTCTGGGTTTAGGCACCGTGTATTCTCTACTGCTACTGCTCTCTGCATTCCAAGCCATTCAACTGCTCTCAAGATGGAGGCGCTACGTTCCTCCGAAACGTCGGCCAAAACGAAGAATACACGGTGCCTAAACCCAGAAGACAACTTTCTTCATAGTCATCGCCGTGAAAAACTCAAAACTTACACAGTTCTTGGTTGTCTCGTCGTGTGGATGTGACGTTTCGAAGGTACATTCTGCCACCATCTTCAGTGGGCGACACTTCGACACCAAACATGGAGACAGCATGTACCTCCGAAACGTCACCCACAACCACACAGAATTAACAGCTACTAAGTTCTCTAGTGACAAAGTCAGTATTAAACTGTTTTGGAGGGAATACAAGTTAAAAGTATGAAATGGGAAAATACGTGTACCAATTTATTTTCGAGCTTCGATATGCCTGCGGAGTAGACTGGAACACGAAACAGTGACAGTATTAATTAACAGTGCCTACGAGTGTGGTTAATGAACAGTCAGAAAAAGATGACCGGCCTGTTCGTCATCTAAGCGGGTTGTTTGTGGGTGGGGGGGGGGAGGTCTCTATAAACAGTTCACATGTTACGAAATGTAATACGGGTCCTTGGACTTTGACCGATTCTCTGGCACGAGATAAGGATGTGTGGAAGCAGGATGGTGAGGAGACTGTTGGGGCTTAGGGGGCAGGAACTAACAGAAGTAAGGGAACAGTACATAATGAAGGGCACTCTCACGTGATCCCTTTACGAGTACTACTCTCAATCTACGGCTGTACAGCCCTTGTGGACCCTGACCGCTTTTTCAGCTTCTTAATTTATGCAGTCGGTAGGATTCCTTGTATGGGGGATCAGCCCGTCGCAAGGCCGCTACCTAAACATAGAACAACACGAACACAGAATAAACACATACAGGCATCCATACCTTGAGTGAGATTCGAACCCACGATCACAGTGTTCGAGCGAACGAAGACAGTTCATGCCTTAGACCGCGCGGTCAGTGATCGGCACCAGTACTACGAGGGAGAACAATTCATGGGAGATGAGATGATCAGCACACGTAGAACTCATGGGAGAGACACGAAATACATAATTTAAGTTGGAAAATCTGAATGGAAGATATCCTTCAGTAAATGTACGAGTATCAATGAGAAGATACTATTAAAACGAATATATAAAAAGGGCGTGATAGTGTAGACTAGATTCAACAGGATCAGGATGAGTTCTAGTGACAGGCCATTATGAATGTGGTTATTGAATCTTTGGCTTCCGGTGAAGGACATTTTTTGATCCATTGTGGAAACATTACCTTCTCAAGAAAGGCTCTGCTGCAACGGCGGC